AAGTATTCCATGCTTTTAAACTCTGTCCATCATCCTTATTTTATTGAATTAATCATAATAAAAGGTCCCAAATATAATCCTAACGAATATTAAATGAAAATTTTAGAAAAAAATTATGGTAATGTTTGTTCTTTAAAAGATGTTGAAGTCTAAAATATTATTTCATTTCTTATTGATAAAAGATGATGTTGAAGTCTAAAATCTAAATCAATAAAACTGTTAGTTTTTAAACTGATAAATGTCAAATTTTATTTAAATTGTCTATTTTACCCATTAGAAAAATATAGTGTTGAATTTATAGAAAATTTTATACAATTTTCACATCTTTATTCATCATCATACAAAATTTACATGTAAATTATATAATTTCCGTTCATTTAAACAAAAATATGTCATTAACGGTGTTAACACATTTAAATCTTATTAAAATCCATCAATTGAGAGAGGTAAGAATCGATTTAGTAAGGAACGGGTGAAAGAAATGATCGATTAAGGATAATCAATTAAGAAACGCCATTGTCTAGGGTTTAGGGAACAATAAGAGGCAAATAAAAGATTGGTTTATCTCTTACCAGATAAGAGAACAATAATACATAAGTACCTCTGAAAAATCGAAAAAAAAATAAACAATCTAAATGACCCCACATCTTAATGAATCAGACATAAGAGATTGATAAGAATTTTTTTTAAGAAAACAAACAAGGTCTAAGAGGCCATTTACTAAATGCTTACTTGATAAGTGCTTACCGGACAATTTCCTTACCGGATGAACATAGAAAGTCTTACCCGATAAATGAGGGTGACGACTCTTATTTGGGTAAGCGCTTACCGTATAAATGGTTGCATAGGATATCGTTTTGATGTACTACAATCTTATCCGATAAAATAAATTATAGTGTTAACTCCTACTGGTAAGCGATTACCGGGTAAGCATTTGGGTAAACGGCCCCTAAATGTCAATAGATATATGACTAAAATTTATTTATTAACTTTAACAAATTACATAATAAAAAAAATATCATCAATACATTTAAAACGACACCAATATTAAAATTATTGTGTTTTATTTGTTGGATCTGGACATAAAGATTCAAGCAAATTACTCAAAACTTTTTGTTCGTAGAGGTCGAAGGCTAGTAAATCGAATTCATCTCGAGATGGACATTCCTCAACTTGATGAATCTTGATATGCACGATGTCACCAATTGCGTCTTATCAGAAGAAAGTATCTAAATTCTCAACTAAGGAGTCGTTTACCAAACATTTATCCGGTAAGTGTTTACCGATAAAATTTAACATTATTATTTACTTACCGGGTAAGATTTTAGTTCACAAAAACGACATCTTATGCAACAATTTACCCGGTAAGCGCTTACCGTGGTAAGAGTCATCGCCCTCACTTACCAAGTAAGACTCTTGGTACTTGTCTCGCTCTTATTGGGTAAGATCCTCGGTCCTTATCATATTCATCCGGTGAGGTAATGTTATTTGATAAGTGTTTACTCAGGTAAGCGTTCGGTAAACTGCCCCTAAGATTCAATTCAATATGAAATTTGTAATTTTTTTAGATGATATTGTAATTTTATATTGAAACTTTATTTTTATTTTTAGATTGTAATTTATAATAATTATGTATTTATTTATTGTATCTAAATTATATATTGTTTAAAGTATTAATCAATTTTGTTATAAAGTTAAGATAATATAAAAAACAATAATATTTAATATTGGTCTCGTTTTGAAGAAATTGACGAGATCTTTTTACAAAAATACAGTTTTAAAAATAATAGATAAATTTTAAATATGTATTTATAGTAATCGAATTTACGAATAACATATGATAATTTATACTGTTTTAAGAAAAATTATGGTTATTTTTGGATTTTTAAGAGGTATAATTTTTTTATATTAGATGTACAAAATTTTAAAGCAGCTTATAATTACTTTCAAGATTGCAATTATTTTAAAGTTTCAAAAGTACAAGATTTTATGAACAGTGTGCAACTTCTTTAAGCTATATGAAAACCAACTTCCCGGGACTATTCCCAAGATAATATTTAGATCAAATTATTTTTAATTTTTAAGTTACACTTTATATCCTTATAATCTATATATATATATTAAAGAAGAAACCATATGTAATGATGTGGCCGCTTCTCAAAACAAGAAAATATTTTATCTTTTTTCTTCTTTTTTCAAGTTTTTCTTATATAAATATTTGTTTTTGATTTTTGATATTCACATTTAATATCATTTAATTAGGTTGTTTTAACCTATTCATGTTCCCTCTAATAATTACTCTTTTAACTCTCATTTATTTCTCTCTATTTGGTTATAAATTTTCATCTTCTCTTCATAGTACACCTCTATAATAATCTCTATATTAATTACTCAATTCTTCCTCACTATTCATATATAATTTTGTGGTACACCTTTATGATAATCTCTTTATTAATCTCTCAATTCTTCATCTCTATTCATATATAATTTTGTGGTAAACCTCAATGATAATCTCTCTATTAATCTCTCAATTCTTCCTCTCTATTCATGTATAATTTTGTGGTACACCTCTATGTTAATCCCTCTATTGATCTCTCAATTTTTTCTCTCTAGTCAGTTGTAAATTTGTGGATGCGATTTGCATTTTTGTTTATTTGAGGTGTCATTCAATAAAACAAATCATAGTATGAGTTTTTGCTTATGTAAGTATAATATTTTTTTTAGTCGGAGACATTCACATCATAGTTGGAATTATGTAGGCATATGGATTTTTTATGTGTGGATAAAGTGGCATATGAATCATTAAAGGAAGAGTTTAACATTGTTAATTTTTTCACATATTTTTTTTATGATTTTGGACCAATTACAAAGTTTGATATGATAAAAGATCGATATATAAAAATTATTATATACATATATTAAAAAAAATAACCAATAATTATAATGTGGATTCATATATCAAAGGTAATATTGATTTTTATTAGTTTAATATATAAAAGTGATTATCAACTCATTTAACTAACTTCAATAATTTAAAAAAATATATTATTATTGCGCGATGTCAAAAACTAGTTAGTTATTACACTTATATCATATTAACATAAATAATCATATATTAACTAAAATACATTAAAAAGTACATTTCTTTTTTGTACAAATGATATTATTATAATCGTCTCATCAATACCTTCAAAATGAGTCAAATATCGAATACTGTTGGACTTACATTACTATTAAATATCATAAATATATGGTGAATTATTTTTAAAATTTATGTTTTATACCCTATATTTATTTATTAATTTTACATTTTACACCCTTATCTATCTATACTTATAATTACAATCGATAATAGGGCAGTTTTGTTATCTTGAATCTTGAAAATTTGAGAGGTGCATGATTTTATGCATCTCGTACAACTTTAGCGGCTATTACTTATTCTTCACATTTACGAAGTACATCATCTTATACTTGTTGCATAACTCTACATACTGTTAATCTCCCACTGCCCTCCCTCAATTGACGGGCCACAGGTATTCAAACCGTCTTACCACTCCCATCCATTCCTTCCCAGTGAAATCTCTCCTTCAACCATGCACAATGAAATTTAAAACCCCCTTAATTCCTCAATTGATCAGTCACCATTACAAATTATCATCTTGCTTATGCTTCTGCCCCGAAGGAGCCAACGTTGTACAACTACTTCTCCTCCTGGTCAATTTTCTGCTTGTTTGATCCTTTTCGAAGGTGACAAGTTTCTATTTGTATGTCAGAGGGATAATGATTTCTCTAATTCTGTTTCTAGCTTTCTCCATACTTAGTTTCACTAAGAGCTTCCTCCAATTCTTGTCACGATTGCCCTAATTATCTCGATGCCTGTTGAGTTAACTTCCATTTTTTTTTCAAAATTTATTTCCATAAATAGAGTACAAAATTTTCGTTACCGTCTTCGCTTGTCTTTATTCCTTATCAAAAGGGTACTATTAATATAAGCATCATTTCCCGCATGAATAGATGATAAGAAATTCAAAATCTTCGATGGAAAGTGCAATGAGAAGATTGTCGAAGTAATCTTCAACTTTTGAATTTTGTTTATATGAATTGCGCATTTGGTTAGCAACAAATGTGCCTTTTCAGACTTCTATTCTTATAATGAAGTTACCGACTCTTGAAGCCTTTTTACTCTACACAATCTTATTAATATATTAACTTCCGTATTTGGTGAGGTCATGAATGGTTGATCAGTCATGTTAATTATATAATTTAGATGTAAATTCCATAATGATGATGAATAAATATATGAAATTATAATAAATTTATCTATAAATTCAACACTATAATTTTTAATGGATAAAGTAAATTAGTTTACAAAAACAAACAGTCTTATTAATTCAGACTTCAACACCACCTCTTATAAATCGAAAGTGAAATAAGACTTCAGACTTCAGCACCTCTTAAAAAACAAACGTCACCTTATTATCGAATGTATAATGTGACCTATCGAAATGCATCGAGACTCAGCTTTATTGTCAACCTAACATACATTGATATAAGACGGAAAAAAAAGCTATCTTCAACCTTTTATTCAGTAAAACCATCGAACTTCTACTGAACTTCGAAAAGGCATATTTAACCACAATAATGTTAAGTTTTGGTCCTTACTATTGTGGATGTTTTTTATACTTAACATTATTATGTACTTATCGGGTAAGATTTTAGTCCACCAAAACAATATCGTATGCAACAATTTACCCGGTAAGTGCTTACCGTGTTAAGAGTCGTCGCCTTCACTTACCGGGTAAGATTTTTGATTCTTACCGGGTAAGATTCTTGATTCTTACTATATTCATCCGGTGAGGCAATGTTATTTGGTAAGCGTTTACCCAAATAAGCGTTTGGTAAACGCCCCTTAAACAATATTTAGCATATATTTCAAATTTCTCTTCTTTTTATATATATACGTAGATAGATATGGATATGGATGTTTTGTTTCTAGTTTTATGAGGCAGATAATTGACACCAACAACAATCATATCAAGATGATTACAACTGCTGCTCTCCTTCACTTCTTCTTCTCCATTTCTCTGTTAATTTCTTCCATTTCTGCTCTCAACTCAGATGGAACCTTCCTCCTCTCCTTCAAACACTCTCTTCTCTCTCAACCACCTTCACTTCTCCAAAACTGGAACCATGGAGATGCCACCCCATGTGCATGGACCGGCGTCACCTGTGCACCCCAAAACGGCTCAGTTATCAGTTTGCTCCTCCCACACTCTCACCTTCGTGGTTCTATCCCTAACGAATTGGGTCTTCTTCACCACCTTCGTTCTCTTGATCTCTCCAATAATTTCATCAATGGCAGGCTTCCCACTTCGCTTTTCAACTGTTCAGAGCTCCAAACGCTTTCTTTGTCTTCAAATCTCATCTCTGGCGACCTCCCGGACTTGATTAGTGGGTTGCACAGTCTTCGGTTTCTTAATCTCTCCGATAATGAATTCTCCGGGAAGTTACCGGAGAGTTTGGGTAAATTGAAGAGCTTGACTGGTGTTTCCTTGAAGAATAATGGTTTCTCCGGTGGTGTTCCAGGCGGGTTTGATTCTGTTGAGGTTTTGGATTTGTCTTCCAATCTGTTCAATGGGGCTCTGCCTCTTGATTTTGGAGGAGGGAGGTTGAAATACTTGAATCTTTCAAATAACAGGMTTTCTGGTTCAGTATTTGCCCAATTTGCAGAGAAAATTCCGGCCAACGCCGCCGTAGATCTCTCCTTCAACAATTTCACCGGCCAAATCCCACAAACGCTGTCCTTATCCAATCAGAAAACAGGGTACTTTGCGGGAAATCTGGATCTGTGTGGGAAACCACTGAAGAAAATGTGCATAGTCCCTTCATCACTGTCAACCCAGCCTAATGTTTCTTCAGAAAGTTCCCCTACCGCAGCGATTGCAGGTATTCCAAAACCTACCGGAAAGTCAAATAATCATGGTGGCCGGAAAGTCAAGTCAAGGAAAATAGCAGCCATTGTGATCGGAGATGTAGCTGCCATGGTGCTTCTCGCCGTTCTTTTCATCTACGCTTGCCAATTTCGGAAGAAGAAAAGGAATCAAAACCCGACAGCTAAACCCAAAGAACTCGACGAATCCAGAGACCTCTTTACAACTTGCTCCTGCTTGAACGGCGTTACCGGAGAAGAAACATCTGAAAATGAATCTGAATCCGACGGTGATCATGACGACAGTAATCCCATGGACGGAAAGAATGACGAAGAGGAAAAGAACTGTTTGGTTATGGTGGATGGGGAGACGGAGCTGGAAATGGAGACGTTATTGAAGGCGTCGGCGTATATACTAGGTTCAAGCGGGGAAAGCATAGTGTATAAGGCGGTGGTGGGAGGTGGTGGTGGTGGCGGCGGAGGGGTATCGTTTGCAGTTCGGAGGATCGGAGAAAGTGGAGTGAAGAAGATGAGGGAATTTGAGAAGATAGTGAGGGTTATGGATAAGTTTCGGCATCCGAATTTGGTGAGAGTTCGTGGGTTTTATTGGGGTGAAGAAGAGAAGCTTGTGATCCACGATTATTTCTCCAATGGCAGCTTGGCCGGCACTGCTTACAGTACGCCACCTTTCTCTTCTTCACTCTGTGATTTGATGCGCATGTTAGCATACCTATCTTATCATGCATACATCATTATGTTTCCCTAATCCTCCGCCACCCAAAAATTTAAACACAAAATCTATATTTTCGTTTTTTAAATTATGATTTTGAAAAACTCTCCCAATTTTTTGTTTTTGTTTTCGTTTTTTAAATTATGATTTTGAAAAACTCTCACAATTTTTTGTTTTTATTTTCGTTTTTTACTTTTACATTTTATTATCTAAAAGCTCTTTGGTTTGTGGTTCCCAATTGATTGGATTTTGCAATTTCACCTTATCTCCATATACAAAAAAACACATAATATGACAAAAAATTTGAACCCTCCCTCTCTTTTTTCCTCAAAAATTAAATAGATTATTAGGTGTTTGGGATTACTTATTTGAAACAACTTATATTTGTTTACAAAAACACTTATCAACTTATTATAAGTCAGAAAGGTTTAATTTCTTCAAAAACTTCTTATTACCGGTTTGGCACCGGTATACGTTGTTTATCCAAACACTCAAAATTGTTGCACCGTAATAAGTCAATAAGTTGTTTTTATAAGCAATCCCAGACAACCCCTATATATAGATTTATTCTTTAACACCGAGTTATTGTCAATCTAGGGTTCTTATATCGCCATTTAATAATCGTTTGGTTTTTCAGCTTATGTTCTTTATGTATTTTTGTGTCGACATCAGAAAAGGATGGCTTGTTTTCTTGCCACTTACCTTTCGAGGTTCGACTCAAGATAGCAAAAGGGATTGCCAAGGGACTATTTTATATTCACGAGAAGAAACATGTCCACGGTAATATAAAGCCAAGCAACGTCTTATTGACATCAGAAATGGATCCCATCATCAGTGATTTCGGACTAGAATGGCTCATATCAGGTAAAAGTAATTCTGTAACATACAAATCAACTGGAGACCTTGGAAGAAAAAGATCGGCTTCATCACGTAGATTCATCAACACTTTTGTGATTCCTCCTACTAGACTACATGGATGCATGTCGCCTTATCAAGCACCAGAGTCAATGAAGACCTTGAAACCAAACTCTAAGTGGGATGTTTACTCATTTGGGATAATTCTGCTCGAGCTTTTATTAGGAAAAACGTTCTCCGATAACGAGTTAGGTCAGTGGAACTCGAAGTCATCAATCATTGACAACGAGAGCAATATCTTGAAGATAATTGACGAGTTTATTACCATTAACGCTCACGACAAAAAAGAGTCCATCATCACATGCTTTAAGCTGGGATTTAAGTGTGCGTCACTGGCTCCACAAAAAAGACCTTCAATGAAAGAGGCACTACAAGTGCTTGAAAAAATTCCATGCTCGTCATGAGGTCAAAGATCAACGTTTTCTATTTCCCAATCTTAATTTCTTGTCATAGGTTTAGGATGATCAACTTACGTAACAGTTGACCTTAATATGGTAGGTTTGACCTATTAATTAGCTAAATGTAACACCTGTTTGTTAGATTCTAATAAAAACTTTATTGGCCTCTTATTTAGCAAGTTAGTTTTGGTGTGTATACTTGTAGAAATCTTATTTCCTGATATTATTGTATGATAAACATGCATTTAAAATTTTTAATTTACCTAGATATCCAACCCGTTATGCAAGTCGACTAATCCCAGTGTGACCACCTGCTTTGTAGATAGCCTAGAGTCACCGCATTTGAACCTCCGTAGCCACAAGGGAATTTTTATTCTTTCTTGGATTTGAGCCTAGGACCTTCTAGTACTTTTGACCTTTGGGGTCAGGCTCAAACAACCAGGCACCACCCTTGTGGTTATTTATTGCATATTTTGCACCATAATATCATGCAATAAAAAGACAAGTATGACACTCGACATCTGTAGCACCACATGATTCAATATTTGCGATAAAAGGTCGATAATAGTACTACGAGGTCTCATCATACAGTTAGAGTTTTGCATTTTTGAAATTCTCTCATTCCAATAGTGTCGGTTGTTCCTTTATGGTGATTATCACTTCTTTTTCGTAGGACCATTATTGAAGTAACATCCAACTACTTTAATTATAATTCCATCAACTTTATTATTGTTTTTCATGTTCATGTTATATTCCTACAATCACATCAAGACTAAATCATGTGTTAGAATACCTTATGTGCATGCTTCACGACAATATAGGAGCAAACGACAGGTGTTATTTGTCGGATATTTTTCAGTGTTGTTATACGGTTATTACTTCTTATCATATGCATACTTTAATCATAGAATGGTAAGATATTTTGTGAATTTTTCTTTTTGTGTTTACTTGGTTATGAAGAAACATGTTAACTGTTGGAATTTTTTTTTTTAATACTTGTTATATATGCAAGTTATGTACAAAAATGTTTTGGGAAAAAAATTTGGTTGTCAATCTGTAATATAGTTTCTTGTATTGTTGGGACTGAATGTGTATTATTTGTATTTTTTGATATATGAGATACATGGTTATATACAAATGTGGATCTTGGGGTGTTACACACAACATTTTGCTGTATAGTTTCAAGTATAAGAAAATGGTCTCACGGGTCTCATGAAAATAGGTTGGTCCCACATGAACCCAACACACACACACCCTCTCTCTCTCTCTCTCTCTCTCT